ATCAACATCTATATAATATATAGGCAGTATTATAGTAATAGCATTCTGTTGATTAGTTAGAATAAGATATCTATAACTACAGTCACACTAGCATAACTGATAGGTCTATACAATATTAAAGTTATATGAAGAAATACAAACTGGCATCAAGTAGTGTAAACCCAAAATAAGTTCTTATAGTTATATAAATCTGTAGAACTAAAAAGCTGAAATCTACTTGAAAAGACCAGAGCAGAAAAGTAGTACAGATTTTTAATAGTACTACTATAAAAACTAGACCTAGGAAATAGATAATGATATAAAAGAAATTGAACAAGCAAGAATCTCAAATGAGAAGTACTATTAACTAGGCTGTTAGAAGTTTTAAACTAGATAAAAAGAATCTTGAAAAGTAAAATTTTAGGATATTGGAAACAAGTAACAGTTCTTTTAAGATATTTGAATTAAAAGTCTGAAGATAAAAACAGTATATATTATAAGTACTAGAGATATGCTATAAAGTTGATACTAGAGACTAGATGAATTTTGCAAAAGCAAGCTCTGTTTACAAAAAAGATTAAATATAGGTAATTAGTTAGCAGAAAGGCTTTATAAAGCCCTATAGTTAAGTAATATACTCTGAAATATGTAATAACTTGATGAACATACAAATAGGAAGGTCAAAGTTAGGTTAGATAGCCTTTTAGTATATAAAAACTTGTGTACTATCTATTAAATACAATATAAAGATCAGAGTATTTAATTAAGTAAACTTCTAATAGATTACAAATATAGTGACTAGTGTAAAATCTGTAAGCAAACTATTTAAATAGATAACCAAAAGCTATACATATGGCTAGTTGCATACTCATTCTGTACAAGTTATATAATCATAATTAAATTACAATAAAGGCAGTAGCAGCCAATAATTAATAGCCTTAACAAAAGCAAAAGTAACAATAAAAGCATATATGCATCAAAATTAAAATACTACCTATAGCAATAAGTTAATACTAACTAATAATATATATATGTTGTTATAAAAAGAAACAAAAACTTTACAAATAAATGTTATTTAGTTTATAGCAAACAAGTATATTTTTTTTAAATAATAAAAACAATTAGCCAAAACTAGCAAAATATAATAACACAATAATAAATCCGATATTTTAGTTTATAAATAACCTATATACAATTAAAATTAAACTAAACAAACTAAAACTTTATTTTATCAAACATTATACTAATTATAACAATACAAATATACTAACCTAAATACAAATTTTATATATAATACTATATATATTAAAAAGAAAAGAACTCAAATAATATAAAATTATATCAAATATTATAAAATAAAACTTAAAAACTAATAACTATAACCTTATTATCTCTAATTTATTTATATTTATTTATTATTAAACATTTAAAAAAAAATCAAATAGAAAATTTTAATAATACTATTGTAAAAAAAAACAGATATTAAAGAATTTAAGTTCTATAACTTAGTAGATAAGCTTTCAAACTCTTTACAAACAAGGTCAATAGTTTAAATTAAACTAGAGGCAATTTTGTTTCTATAATTTATTAAACTATTAATCAGATGCAAAGTTTTGTAGAAAAGTCTAAATGCAAGCACAAATTTGAATAAAAAAAAATCTTAAAAAGAGACTTAATTGTGAAATATAGACACTATATAATAAGTAATTATTACAGAAAGTTATAATTATAAAAAGATTACATATATAAGTTCTTTAGACTAAGGCAGCATCAATATCCTTATATCTTCTAATATAGATAATACCAACATCTTTATATTTTAATTTGTAGAATACTTACTTGAAAGAATAATTAACAAATTGTATAAATAAATTCTAATTAGAATTTAAGAAGAAGATTTGATTAGAAAAATAGTTTGAAATAATTAAGACTGAAATAGTAAGAGAAGCAATAAATATAAAGATAGCCTATAATAAAGAATTGGTCTAATTAAAAATTAAAAATATCTTTAGCATAACTAAATAGTTTAATTATAAAAGAAAAAATCTTAAAGATTAATATATACCTTTTTTATGTAATATAAAGACACCAAATTAGATTCTGATTATATCTATATAGAAGTCTATAATAAACAAGACTAAGATTAACTAAACCAATATAAGATAAAATTTGTAAAATAGTATAGCATTACTAGGGTTAGTATAACTCTCTAAGTATAATCAGAATTGTTTTACAAGTATTATTAAATTAGCTAAAAGCTTGCAATATATAGTAATATAGTATTACTAGTATTAGAGAAACTCTCTAAATATAATTAGAATTGTCCTAATTGTAAATGCAATAAATATTAGTTCTTATTATAGAAGAGAGTATCTTATTAAAGATTAAATGCAATACTAAATTACTATACAATATTAAAATCTGAGACATCTGCAAAAATGATGATAACAAATCTACTTGAAATATAGATTAGTCAAAAGACTAATGATGATAGTAGGTCTAACTTGAGATATGAGTTTATTGTAAATTTTAAACCATTGTTGGAACATCTTAAAAGAATCAATAACAAACATACCAAAAATAAAAGATTATAAGAATCAAACATATCTGAGTAAAACCAATTTAAGAATAATACAATAACAAAAAGATAAGAAATGTAAAAAACAAGATATTATTAAATATAATTAGATTAAATGATAGAAAAAACAAGACCAAATAAAACATATAAGTGAAACATATGAATATGATTATAGAAGACAGTATTCTTAACATTTAGGATATTATATTAAGTTCAGTAAATATTTTTGTTTGTATAACAATTTAACAATGTGTTTTGACTACAAGTAGTTGCTTAGATAACTGTATACAAACATGTACTTAGATGTTATATAAATAAAAAAATGAAATCAATAATATAAAATTAGATAGCAAATATAGTACTAGTATAATTGATCCTAAACATATAATTATAAATTTGTATTATATCAAATTAAAGCCTAATAAATCAACTAATAATGTTATTAAAATTAAAAAAAAAAACAAACAGATACCAATATAAAAAAATCAAATAAACAAGAATTTCTTAATGAAAAGCATTATCAACTAAATTATCAAAATTTAGACTAAAGAAAAAGAATATTAAGCTGAACATAATATATCAAAAACAGATTATAATTATACTGTATAAACTCTGCAAGAATATAATCTTACTAATAATTCATAGAATATGTAAGTTGATTAATAGAAGAATGTTTCAAACTTTTCAGTTAGAAGACATACTTCAAAATGAATAATGACTTAACAATCATATAAAAAAAAAAGCTAAATATTGGATTAAATATGTTTAAATGTATAAAAACCAGTATGCTATTATTTAATATAGTATAAAGACCAATCAATGTATTTAAATAATAATTTCTTAACAGATTACAGATATATTAACTAGTGTAAAATCTGTAAATTAACTACTTAAATAGGTAACTAAAGTTACACATATGACTAGTTGCACACTCACCTTGTACAAGTTATGTATATATAATTAAAAACACAATAAAGACAATAATTACTGTTAACATTAACCTTAATAAAAACAAAAAAAAAACAACCACATTTGCCTCAAATACGAGCACATTAGTAAAAACATTCGATTTCATATTTAGATCTTTTTTTATAACTCAGTGATTTGACAAAACCTACAAAAAAAAATTTTTTCCTTTGTACCTAAAAGTCATCTTTATACAAGAAATGCAAATCCTAAATTTTTAAAAAAACTGGAAAAATCGAATCGGGATCTGAGTCCCATATAACTATCACGTGAACACAGGATTGAGTCCTTTCAAGGATCTTTCAGGACTCGATCCCAAATATTCCCTAGTAAGATGGTAAAAATTTTAATGTAAATTGGTCAAACTTATTAATTCGCACCTAAACAATATATGGGCAAACTATCAATGTTACGCTTTAACAAATACAAATGGGCTTTGCAGAAGAGCTATCAACAAATAAAAATTTTCTCTATATTTTGCAAAAGAACTATCTATCTCTTTAACGAATAATACTAGTAATGCCATAAAATAAATTGATATTGTTATATGGCAAGCATTTTGCTTCAACTAGTGATCTGAACCGAGCTAAAAATCGTCAACCGATTACTGACCCGGGTACAATCGGCTTAACCGAAAGCGCTCGGTTGATTCGGGTCAGGCAAACTAGATCAGTCATTATCTGGGTCAACCTGGTTACAGCTGTTCTCAATCCTAATAAAAATTAGCTGAATGATTTTGAAACCAGCTGTAATATCATAATTATTGTTTGAGACCTGTTAATGCCACCCCTATTTTTGCTAATGCCATCCCTTACATAATCTAACCCTAATTAATAAAACCGGTTTTTAAAATAGGTCGTAACTAATACGACAAATATGTCTGCATCTATAATGTCAACGTTATTACAGTTTTCATAAATTCTGGAAATCTGGAAAAAATTTACTGACCGAATATTTGCTGATTCAATAAGTTTTGATTCAGCAGTGATTAACTTTTGATTTGGATGTAATCACATCCGAATCAAAAGTTTATCAAAACTTGTAGAATCGGCAAACATTCGGTCGGTCAATTTTGCTAGATTCTCCAAAATTTATGAAAACAGATGTAAAATTTCGATCGAATGCTTATTCAACATGCTTGGCTGACTGTTTATAAATTTTGCATCGATTGGGGTTAACCGTTTATACCAGACTAGCCGATTATGCTAGGTTAACGGTTGATCCGATTTTTTTCGGTTCGGTTCGGTTACCCGATTAAGGCTTAACTGGTTCAGACCACTAGTTTCAACTAGCCGATTAAATCAAAGAAAATTTATAAAACTAAGTAGTTTATTATATATCATGACTGTTGAGGCCGCGGGGACAACACATTTTTGAGATTGTTAAACTGTTCGTCTGCCTAATAAGATGCATAGGCGATGTTGACGGTGTTAATAATAAAAGCAAAAATGAGGAAATAAAAATAAATAAATAAAACTCAGACCTCTTGAGTAACAGATGAATCGCCCGAAGTATCAGATTTTGTACATTTTAAAATACTCTCCAATGTGATACTCCAACCGGGCTGTCTTTTGGCCAATTCTTTGGATGTTTTGTCTACCGTTGATCTACCATCTCCCATAATCCAATTGCAATACCAATGATGTTGGGTCTCAGTATCAAAGATTAAATCATTTAAATTTTGCACTAAACCCTCCATTTTATCATCGACATTTGTTGCATTATCACTTTTTTCAGTTTCTTTTGAAACATTATCACTTTTCTCAGTTTCTTTTGTAACATGCTCACCAATTTCACTATTATTGTTGGTTTGTTCCACATTTTCCAGTTCCTTTCGAATTTCCTTGCTTCGTGCGATGCTACGATAATGCATTAAAGAACAGCGGCGAAAACATGATTTGCAATGCAAAACCTCCAGCCCTTCAAAATAACCGTATTCCCACCCAAATAAAGACAAGCATGCGGCAGAGCCAACAACAAGAAGCTCAATGTTATCATCATCTAAAGAAAGTGCTGCGGTCATGGTTTGAATAAATTCTTCAGTCTAACAAAAAGAAATGTAAATCAGTTAACAAATAATCAATTAATATAGATTTTAACACTAAATCATTTGAACAATACCATTTCAGCCTTAACTACAGGCAACTTATCACCGAGTTTTATCAAAGGAGACGCCCGTAATTGAAAATTTTCTCTGACAGCCTGATCCAAGAGAACTGGAAATTTGTATATAGAGACTGAATTTGCAATCCGATTATAACATAAAATAGACAATAAGCAATTAGTGGAAAAATGAAAGTGAAACATTAAACTAATGATTACGAATTACGGAAAGTACATACTGTCACATTGGCGTTCACGCCATGAACACGCAACTGAGTGTGCAGTGACTAATCCTTCTTGATATTGTTTTGTTAAATGTTCCTCTTGACAGAAAAGAAATTCAGAACGAGATCTTGTATATGGGAATTAGGTTTTGCCATAGAAATGGACCCTACCTAACTCAAGATTGCCCAATTTTACAAGCATTTTTTCATCACAATATTCACATTTAAGCCAATCTTTACCAGCATTTGTCCAACCATATCGTGCACATTCCACAGGACTCAAACAATCAGGCTTAAAAGCCCATGTTAATTCGTACAACGAATGTTAAGTCTAAATAGAGTAAATTCATAATTTCACAAACATAACATTGAAAGGATATTTTGAAGGAAGCAAGTCTGTTCATAAAGTCGTCTTTGTTGAGTGGGCGATGTAATTTCTGAGCCGGAAGTGTAGAGCCAGCTGACTGTTCAGGAGCAAGCTTGATTTGTTTTGCACTAAGAAGCGTAATCGTTAAAGGAGTATAGAGTGAATAGAGTGAATATTGACCTAGAAAAAAAATATTAACCTTGGTCCAGAAGAATCATCACGTTTATTTATTAGATTTCTTGAAATCTCGAGAGAGTTCTCGTATATAGCTGAAAGTGTTCTTTTAGTAGCGTTAATTATGTCAATGGTATCTTGTGCCATAGTCGAAAATTAAAAATTGCGAAAAACGCATCGACACGCACTTATTTTACAAACTCTTCAAAAGGAAATAGCCAATCAGAGAGTGCAAATTTCACCCAGAAAATGATGACGGAGTCCACCACGAAAATTACGGGTCACGTGTCACCGTCGATCATCCCTCGATCCTCCAACTCTCAATTGATTTACGAAAGGGGCATAGCGAATTTTTGCGTAGTGTTATACTAATTATCTTAGATTTTACTTTTGCTTCAAGTCTGGTATCAGTGCACAAAATTGTGGCATGACGTGTCCTGATTTTTTTCCGGCAATATGTATACAAAACGGAATTTTGGATCTGCAGCCAGAGATATTAACAAATATATACCAATATGTATAATAATTGCTATTATTGCTACGTTTCGCTATCATAATACATTAATTATATACTATATATCCCAAAAACAAAATTGCAGTTTCAATATAAAAAAAAACTAAATTCGAAAATAACATTACTGTATGCCATATCCATTTTTTATATTATGTTATTCATGGTATATTTTATCCTAATTCATTTCTTTACTTTTCTTTCCTTCTAATAAAATTCTCATAAACGCATCTAAAGTAAATGTAGTTAAAGAGATACGCAAATGGGTTTTAATTGTATTTTGTTTGGAAAATCCACGTTCACAATTTACACTTGAAAAAGGAATGCTATTAGTAATATGAGCAAGTTTAATCATGTTAGGAAAAATATCAAAATAATTATGAACTAGAAAAAGAAGTAATTCCTGTAAGGAAAATGTTAAAAAATTTGAAAAAATAATATTTTTAAAACTAGGCCATTCTGTTATACATGAATTCACATCAATTAATGGTAAGAATTTTTGATTATTTATAGTCTTTGCTGTTCTATAATAATCAAATAAGATTTGCAATTCATTGTCTTCAAATTCAAATAATTCTTCTTTTTTATATGGTCATTCTACTGGATTCAAAATTCTCATTGCTGCAAGGATGAACAGAAAAATATTCTTTAATTTCTGTAATAATTGTGCTTGCATATTTGTAAATATTTTGAAATAAATTATCAAAATCATGATTATTATATATAAATAAATATATATGATAATTTACATTTGTTTGATTGATAAAGGTTGAAGATTATAGCCCAGATAATAATTTCGAATATTCAAAGTATCTATGAGATAATCTTTTTGAATGATTGTAGTTGTAGCATTAATTATAGGAATAATATCTTGAAAATAAAGATTACTCTTTTGGAAAAATTTATTTAATAATGTCAAATAATCTAAAATATCAAAAATAAAATAAAAAATCCCAATAATCGTCAGTTACATAATCATTGATACAAGTTATTAGCAACCTTATTATTGTTATATTGAAGTTATAAAAGAACAGCTGATAATGTTTTAACAAAATTTTTTATAGTATTATACTAGCCAAGCCATCATATGCCTTTTAATTTTTTTAAATGTAGCTCAGAACAATCAAGAATTTGTTGATATTCTTGAACTTGTTTTGCAGAATTTTTATAATATTTGTATACATCTCTTATAATAGTCTTGACATTATTGAAATAATCAATTTGTTTTTGTGAATCTTTGTAAGCTAATACTAAACAATGTACTATATAATAATTGTAGACAATATATGAACAAATTTGTGATAATTTTTGTACAATATCATTTTTATATCCAATCATTATATATGTACTATTTGAAACAAAAGCTACTAATTTGTCAATAATATTATAACTTTGAAATAGCTGAATTAATTTAGTAGTTATTGTTGTTGCATTACTTTGATCAAGTACTAATAATTGTAAAAAATATGTTTTCATATTTATAAAAATATTTGGATATATTACATATATATCAATATACTTATTCATAACAATATCTGTACTTTCGTTGATTATAATTCCAAAAGATACAGCTTTACTAAGCTCTTTTCATATTTTGGCCTTAATTACATTAGATATAGTAAATGTAAATTCATGATCAGATATTTCATTTTCATAAATAACAGCACCATCTACAATAAATGAAGACTTTAATTTATAAGATAATTAAACTATATATGGAAGTTTAGCTAGTAGTATATCTTGTTGTACAAGAGTATATACAATTTTTGTAATTTCAATTATATGATTTTTATTCTGTTCTGTAAGTTGTTCTAATTCTTTATTAACTGTTTTTTTAGCAGCATCAAGTCTTATTGCATCTTTATGTTGCTTTGAAGATGCATGTTCTTTAACAGAACTTTTTTAACCAAAATTTACAGATTCTGTACTTCCAAAAGTATTTGATTTATTGTAACATTTACAATATTTACAAAACATCTATTGAGAGATTTTGTCAAATTGAAGCCATCTAAATTCATTAAACTAAGAATTTTTGAAAGCAGGTTTGAATTTCATTACAGTCTTTAATTTTTTATTCTTATTAAATAATGTTTTTTTTTTTTGTTAAAAGCTATACTTGTAGTAATACTTTATTGACTTTATATCAGGTTAGCTATTACAACTATTTTTACAGAAATGAGAGTATAGCTAGTCACGCATGCAACTTTTAGTTGCCTATTTAAGTAGTTTGCCCTAAGGTTCTATACTAGATGCTATACCTATAACCTACTAGAAGATTATTCATTTAAACTCTCTGATTATCTGCTCTGTTATATTGAAATCTCTAACTAATCCTCTGTATATACCTAACTAGTATACCATCTGAACAATATGGTACTTACCCTTTTTGTACTGATTCCCAGGCTGTTACACATTTCAGAATACATTACCTGCCAGTAAGGCGCAAGAGGCCTCCTGTTGTTAACTATCTACCCACTTTTAGAACACTAACACAGGCTATTCTTGCAGAGTTTACCCAGACCCCAGTATTGACTTCACAACATATCCCTAGTACTTTTAGTATACCACTGCTTTAAATCCAGATTCCTAATCCAAATAGCCTGGAAGGACTGTGACCTGTCCTTGGTATATTGAGGCTAGTCTAATATCCTTTTTCTTTAGTCTAAATCTGATGGCCTAGTTGGTGATACTCCTTACTCAAGGTTCTTGTCTACTCGAATTCTTTATATTGGTATCCATTTTCTAGGTTTAGCCTTTACAGTAGTACCATCAAAGATCCATATTACTTCTCTGCTCAGAATTTTCAAGTAGGTTCTGGCTTCCTAGTTCTACAGATTTACATGGCCTGAGAACTTATTTTAGGTTTGCACTACTCAGTACCAGTTTGTATTCCTCTGTGTAACAGGTTACATAAATGCCTCAGACCTGCAAGTTATGCTGGTGTGACTATAGTTACAGATATTTTATTCCAACTGATCGACAAAATGCTGTTACTATAATACCATCTATATATTATATAAGTAATTATCCAAATTTTACCATTAGTGAATTTGGAACTTACAATCTACTACTTAGAAGTATGACAACTTATTCACTAAGTTGCCATACTCTTTTATTAAATAATATTAATTTTTGGTTACTTTGATCACTTTCATAATCATATTGATGATTTTGATCATTTTCATAATTATAATCATTTTTATGATTGTTTTGAATATATTTATAATGATTTTGATTGCTTTGGTTACTTTCGCTTTGATCTATTAGTTAAAAAAAATTATTTTAAAAGAACTTATATATATATAAACTTACATGTATATTATGTATTAATAATGAAAAATTTTTTTTTTCTCCTTAAGTAGTCATGCTAGTGCTTTATTAAGATTTTGAAATTACATTTGCAATTATATAAATATTCTTAACAACTAAGCCCAGTGTCACCCAGCCACTCTAATAGTACCTAAGTGCAACTTGCTGCATTACTTCAAGCAAAAGTAAGCCACTCATCTGACTACTTAAAGTCCATAATGAAAGGGTCTTCTCTCTTTTATGACAAGTTCTAAAATTGTTTTCTGTACTTCTTTTCCAATTTGGCTTTTTTTTTCTTTCACTTTTTTTTTTCTCTCTTCAATTACTTGCTGATTTGGTTTTCCTTTTTTCTTTGGTACTTTCTTCTTTTCTTCTTTTTATTCTACCTGTTATTCATTTATTTTTTTCTCCTATTCATTAACCTTCTTATATCAAATTCTTCATACTTGTTCATAAAATGTATTCTAGGCCATTCTTGCTACTACTTTCATAAACTGCTGTCTTAACTTTGTACTTAGAAGCTGCCTTAATCTGTCTTGCGTTTCTTTTAGAATAAGACCTTTAATTAATGCTTCTCTTATTTTGATTTCCTCTGCTTCTGTTTTCCCAAAAAGCATTATATATAATACATATAAAGAGATCCAAACTTTTTTTTCTTCTTTTAACTCTTTTCAGGCTGTTGTAATGGTCACTTTTTGAATTCTTTTCTACAGGTTTTTTTGTCCCTTACATGCTGTCAGATATGTCTGTATTTCTTTTATTTTGTTTTGGCACATTTGGCATTCTGTTGTTGTATATACCTCTGGTCTTCTTTTGTTTAGTTCTTCTAGGGTTGGAAGCTTGTCTATTATGCACTTTATGAACACACTTCTTCTGGTACTACTTCTTCTTGTTGTGCAGTGTACTCCTTTAGATATCTTTAGTCTGTTCCAAAAGTATGTCCAATCATATATCGTAACTTCTGTTTCTGGTTTCAATTCTCTAATTGCTTTCATTTCTTTCTATTCTGCTCTTAATCTTGCATTCATTATCGATTTGCATAGTAGTCTTGCTAGTATGTCAGTACATTTGTTTTCCCACTCTAGGCAGTACTCTATTTCTTCACAGCTGACTTTTCCAACCTGTATTATTTTTCTATTTGTTGTACCTTTTTTTGCTAGACTATCGGCTTTATTATTCCATCTATCTTTACTATGACTCTTAACTTTAATTAACTTTATCTGAATGTTTTTTGTCCTAATAAGCTCTCTAATTTTCATTATTCATAATGCATTTTCTTTTTAAGGATCTTATCTTTGCAAACTTGTTCTAAACCTCTACTAATGTTTCTTATTGCTGCATTGCTATCTGTATATATTTCTATTTGTTTCTCTCTTAGTATTGTTAAGATTGCAGCCCATATTGCTACTAATTCAGCTACTGTTGATGTTTGCTATTCTTCTAAACCTAGTGCTAACTCTTCTTCTGACTATTTTTGCATTTCGTCTGTTTGCATCTACCCTATGCCCATACTGTTTTTGCTTCTTGTGTCTTTTTTAGTCTTCAGGTTTGCTACTCCATTTGTATATATTATGTACTTGTTCTTGTTTTTTGTTATATTTCTTCTTAAAACTTCTATTATCTTTTGACTAATACTGTTTTTTAGCTTTTGTCATCTGATTATCTCTACTTCTGGCTCTTCTACTATTCTTAGTTCTTCAAGTTTCTGTTCTCTTATTACTAGTCTGCTTGTTTTTATCATTTCTGTTATTTGATCTATCAGTATCTTGATCTTATTGCTGCCTTTTTTTATTAATGCATCAGGAACCACATTGATTCTATTATTTACTCTTATCTACTGTTGGCAGCTATCTTCTTGGTGTTCTTCTACTCTTATACACCCCTTATATCTGTTGATTTCGATAGCTAATTTATTTTCTTTACTCTGCATTTGCCAATGTTCTACTAGTATTTTTTTCTTTTTCTTTTTAACTATCTTTCCTAATTGTCGATCATTTTGTGCACCATGTGTTACTCATTCTTTTCTTCTTTTGTCCTTTGAGATATACTTCTATCCTATCTGCATTGCTTGGGTGTTTTGTCTGATTGTTCTATATTGTCTTTTAATTTCTCTATTTTCTGGTCTAATGAGCACTTCTA